ATGATGTACAATGTATTTTTTTATTATTTATAATTATCTTTAAAAATACTTACATAGGAAATGTTTCCCCCAAATAATGAAATGTATCACACATAGAGAGGTCTTCTAATGTAAAGGACGGAGAAGACATGAGAGAGCCCCATTTGTACCACCAAGACACAGTTCTGCATAAAATTTAATACTTTAAAAATATGTAGTCAAAATTATAGGAAAAAATGAAACATTCTCAAGGCTAGAAAAAAGTATGGAAATGAAAGCCAGAGATAACTGGGGGTGATGCTACACACTGTATGAGGGTTATCAGACCCACTTATGGGCCTAGAGACTGAGCCTGAATCTTAATGCCCAACAGAGATGGGAGAGTTGGCCTCTGTCCAGAGCAAGGCCAGAGCTCCCACATACAAGGAAAGTCCAAGAAGAGATCCCTCCTTCTCTAAGGCTGTGGATAGAAAGACAAACCACTGCATAGAAAGCAAAATCATACGCTTGCATCAACCACAAGCCTGTACCATTTACAGGTGACAGTTTGTCCAACTTTATAAAAAATATGTGCTGCTATAACCCCCAACCATGAGATTTACATAAAAACTGCTTTGAGACCCATAAAACCCCTGGTATCCCAGCAGATGCACAAGCAGAACCACTCCTAGGGACACTTTCATACCTGCTGCATTTGAGAGTCCTATCTAAGAATAACTCTCAGTGTAGATGAGCTCACACAAAATAATTACAAATCACTGGAGCAATTAAACTATCAAGATGTGGAATGATGGAATCAGCAGCCTGAGAAGAAATGGAAGATGGAAATGAGAAAGGCCAAAATACATCTCCTTTTCCAGGCTTGTACAAAGTGTCAGCTGGAAGAATCATGCAGAACCCTAAGCAGAGTGTGGTATTTCTTAAAGAAACACACACTGTGGGACAGTTACCTGCGGCTTGAGATAGGTCAAATGAAAGGACTGGATGATCATTCTTTTACTATTCCAGTTGGGTCGTTCTCGCCATTCCCCACTTACATACACCTCCAAGTTTGGATGTTGGAAAGGAAAGGAAAAAAAAGGCAGAAAGGCCTCAAAAATGAGGCAGCAAAATATGATGCTATGTGAAGGGTGACAGAACTGTTGCTTCAGGTAAGTATGAATAAAATAAAAATCTTCATAGAAGAAGTACCAGTGGGCTAGCCAACCATCCCACTATGTGCCACAATCTCGAGACTTGCTAATGGAATACTGTGTTCATAAGATACTATTTTATCTATTATATCTGCCTTCTGTATTTGCCCGATTTAGTAAAAAGTCAAAAAAATATTTAATTGGAAAATGAAGACATTGAAGTTGCCTTCAAGAAGACTTCCAGAGTTTCTAAAGAAGAATTCTGAGGTTTTTAAGGGCACCAAGTTTCCCGGTGCTCATGCTTTACACTAGTTAATGTTACCCTTAAATGTTAAATGCCTTCCTTTTCCTTGATTCAAAATATTCCTAGCACTAGTCATGTGGTTTAGTCATTTGAGCTATTTTGCATTCTCAAGAAAAATGACAGGCAGGACTGACCCCAGCAGTCTTCTGGGTGCTGTGCTGCAGTGGGAAGCGTAGGTTTGGTGTCAGGTCTGTGTTATTACTTAGTTCGGCTGAGCAATCACCTTGGCAAACGATGGCCTCTCTGGGCCCAGTTTCCGTCTGTGCTAAGTGGGGCCCTCCTCAGAGGGTGCTTGAGAAGACGGATGAAACTTAATGAATGCTCGCCGCCTGGCTTAAAGTAGGAGCTCAGTCAAGGGGATGCACACCGCACTTTCCTTTTGAGAGCACGTGCTAGAAGTCAGAGGGATAGTTGCAAGCTCCACACGCGAGAAGGAAATTCTCTGGAGAATAATTTGGTGGGTATTTACCTCAAATCATTTTGAATTAAGGGGGATTATAAACCAACAGATTGAATCAAGAATCAAGAACAGTCCTTTATATACAGGGGGCATCTGCACCTCACGCCTTCAAAATGCAAGACAGCCTCAATTATAATCCAACCCACAGAATTCCATGTAAATAATCCAGTGACTCATAAAGACATTCTTTATAAAAACACAACTTTTATACAGCCTTTCCCTTTTTATACCTGGTTGCTTACTTAGGCCTTTGTCTTCAGTGCAATATGATTTTGTTAAGGTTTCCTATTTTAGAATTTTCCCCTTTTTTCACTCAGTTCACTTATATGTTATTTTTGAAAAAGGAGTTTAGGCACAAATATTAAAACTTTAATATTTGTGCCTAAATATTATTAAAATAACACAAGCACATTTCTACAAATTAATACCTGGCTTGTGTTACTTTTCCAATTAAGTTTTTATTGTTTTATTATTAATGTAAGTATTAATGTCATCATACTTTATTATAATGGACTGACTCAAGGTTTTGTATGTGCAGCAACTGAGCCCATCTACATGCTGAGAATCTAATTTAGGTGACCTCAACCAGGGGTCCAGAACTGGCTTCAAGAACAGTTAACCTCTTGAAATCCAGTCCAAGTTGCAGATCTAGAACTATCACCAGGTTTTCAAAGGAATCCATGACGTTAAAATAGTTAGGAAGCATTATTTTACTACCTCCTTCCTTTTCTGCTGTCTCCAGCACAAATATTTCCCTCATACCTAACAAAATGATATGCTAAAAACACAAGTTGTTATATGTAGCTATTTTGTTTCCTAATTTAGAAGGTGTGTTCAGAAATTTATATGCAAATACACTTCACACAAGGGATACTTGTATTTGTACCATTCACAACACACAACCGTGTTTACTTCACATAAATTCAACTACAGAAGACGTAATGAAATGGGCATTTTTTTGACAAATCACAAAGCAACATCACCTGTCTTTAGGAAATTAAATATTTGGGTTATGATTCTATGATGATCATGTCCATATAAATCACTTTCTAACAGTACAATTCTAGAGAAAGAAATAAAATTAGCATTATCTTTTTGCTTAACTGTAACTATGTCCATAGATATTTGCCTATTTTACCCAAAGGACATTAGGAGCTCTTGCAGGACACAATCTTAACAACTAAACATCAAAATGAGGGTCTGATAAATTTTAAAGATTTTTATTTATTTATTTATTTGAGAGACAGAACGAGAGAGAGAGAGAGAGAGAGAGAGAGCACATGGGAGGGGGGAGGGTCAGAGGGAGAAGCAGACTCCCTGCCCATCAGGGAGCCCGATGCGGGACTTGATGCGGCACTCGATCCCGGGACCCCCAGGATCATGACCTGAGCCAAAGGCAGTCGCTTAACCAACTGAGCCACCCAGGCGTCCCCGAGGGTCTGATAATTTTTAAAAAGTCATACCCAAGATAATGAAATGATGCTGATCAAAATGTAATACTGTATATATATATTTGAAATATCCTCCAGCCACAATTAGATTATTATTATTCTCATTAACACAGAGAGAGGTGTTTAATAGTTTAAAAAAGCAAATTATTTGTTAAATGTCAAAGTTTCCTGATTTCTTTTATAGTCTGCTTATGCATGTCTAATTTATTAAATGGATTGTTCATCACTACATTTTTTTCAAGATTAAAGAAAAATCTTCTAGATTATAATTGCTATACAGGACAACTTTTCTATACTTGTAAGCCCACAGTGGAGGCGTACTATATACATTAATGATTTAGGTGTAATATCTACCAAATATTGTGCCTAATGATTCAGTAATAACAAACATTAAATATCGAAAGACTTGGGCAAAGCAAGGTATTTGAAAACATGATTGAATAACTCTAAAAGTTTACTATATGATATGTTTACACATGTAGAGTGAATGTCAGTTTGCTAATCACTTTGGAAGCACTTTTTCTAGAGAGGAAGTTCTCATATCAGAGACACTGAACCTTTTGGTAAAATATTCCATCACCAAAAACCAAGAGATCAGCTTACACATATTTTTGAATAATATTGTAAAATTTTTTTTCAGGTTTTTTTTTTATAGCTTGCTCATATTAAAGGAAGAAAAGCACAAAAGAGCCATAAAAAAAAGATCTGCTTTAAAAGAAAAATAAAAACAATTCCATGGCTTTACAAACACAGATTTACCTGTTTTAAGGAACACCCAACAGCATTTATGCAAAAATACCATACATATATAGTGTCATCACTAAAAATCTACTTGTACAACATTTGGCATCACTTGATGAGTTGTTATTTCACAGAAAAATTGTATGTGATTGTACCACTATTTATAAACATCAGACCATCCAGTAGTGATTTAAAAATTATCAACTGCCTAACTCTGGTTTAACAAATAACAAGCAAATAAATAAATACCAACCATGGGAACTTTAGAGGGCAGTGGGTATAAGCGGGGCGGGAGGATCATCAAGTTATCATCCCACTGAAGACTGTGTGAGCCACCTGTGATTTGAAGGATCTCTGTTTCCCCTCTAAAATGCCGAAGTAAAAACCCTGTGCAACTTTGCACTTCTTGGTGCAACCACTCTGCTTACTCAATGTCAAGGGATAGACTAGTCAGCAATCCAGGGCAATGTTTTTGGCAAAATGAATTTACAGAAAACAAGTTCATTCTTATTTTCGTTCTCTCTCATCCCCGCCCCTCCCCACGCCTGCTTCTGTCTCCCTCACCCCCTCCCTTCGTCGCTACCCCACCTCCCCGCAAGACAAAGTTATTTAAGTGTTATGTCAGAGTGCAGATCAGTTAGCAAAGTTTTTTCCAGCAAAGAAAGGCTGACTGTCTAAACTACGTTTCACACTTGTCCCAGAGCCCTCGTAGACTGGCAGATGAGGAAGGAAAACGCTATTTGGGGCAGAGAAAATAACGGAGGAAGAAGAAGCAGGGTGGGAAGAGAGTTTTGGGGCTTGGGGAAAGGCTGCAGAGGAAACAGGGGATCCCAACAACGGAAGAGTTAGTTTAGGGGGCTGCAAGAGAAGGAAGGACAACGGAAATTGGGGGAACTGAGAACGAAGTGGTGGTCCGTGACCACTCTCTTTACCTGCTGTACTTCGTGGGGTCCGGGCGAGCAAACGGCCACCGTATATCCCTTCATTCCCGACGGGATGAGACCACTGTCTTCTCTCCGGACAGCGCGGGCCTCGGCTCCGTCCTCCTTCCTCGGCGACCGCAGCGACAACTCTGCTTCTGGGCGGGGGAGCCGCTCCCCCGAGCCGCGGGTGCCCACATCCCCGCCCGGGCCCCGGGCGCCACTGCCCGGGCGCGAGCGGAGGCGGAGGCCAGACACCCCGGGGAGACTCGGCCCGGCTACGGCACCGCCCCCAAGCAACCCCGCGCGCGCCGGGACGAGCCGGGGGCGCCCCCAGCCGGCCACACACCCCAGTCCCCCGCGCGGGGCCAGCGCGCCCGGCTCCCTCCGCCGCGCCCCCTTCCAGCCCCATCACCGCGCGCCCCCCACGCCCCTGTGCCCCTCCCACGACGGCCCGCGCCCCTGCATGACTCCCTGCGTCCTTCCCGTCCCACCGTCGCACGCGGCCCGCACACCCCTGCCCCTCCATGTCCAGGACCTCCTGTCCCAGCGCTCCAATCGCGCCCACCGCGGCCTCCCCGCCCTCTGCTCGCCCCCCACGCTCGCGCACGCGCGCGGGTCGCTGAGCAGGGCACTCGCAGACACCCGCTCTCAGCCGATTCCTCTTTGGATGCCCGCGGGAGGGCGCCTTCCCTCTTTTCCCCTTCGGTCCAACTGAGTCGGCCTACCGCATCCCGGGCTTGGAGCTCGGGGGAAGAACTCATTTTCCCACCTGGGCTCCTAGTCCCTTGCAATTACAACAGTCAGCGCCTTCCTAATCTAAGGCGTTTTAGGGCGTCCCTGTTGAGGGAATTGTTCCATTCGCGAGACTCTAGAGTCTGGCCGAGAACCACTTGGGCTTCAGAGCTGCGCGGTTTCCTCCTAGACTCCAGCAGAGCAAGGGCCAGGTGCCGCCGCTAGGAGGCATTCCTCGGGATTTGCAGAAATGTGGAGGTGGCAAAAATGTTGCCACACCTTTTTAGCTCTTTGAATCAGGCTCGGAAGTAGTGAGTGCTGACCCATTACTTTTAAGAAGCCTCTTTCACTCTTTTTCTCAAGGCCTGAAGAGGTTCGCTCAACTTTTATGTGGCATATAATTATCCTATTAGCGCTTGTGTATTTCACTCATTTATTTTCTAGTTGACCTCCACACGTACACTGGGACCCCTTCATCTGCACAGGAGGGTGACTGGTTTTAGTAGTTTTGTGTCTGGAGAATGGTATGGGTATCTGAACATGTTTGGTGAATGTGCTTGGAGGTAAATTCGCTCATTCCTGAAAGGATCATTTTGGTGTATTTTACGATTTTTTTTAGATGGGAGATATGCTACTGTGTTTGGAACCAAATGGAAACATAAAGATGCTGGAGAATTTACACATGTTTTTCATGTAACGAAATGGATGATTGCAAGAAAATCTTCGTTAATTATTCTCCACTTCATATGTGATAGTGACAACCATTTCTTTTAAAGACTTCACTCTCGCAAGGTTAGATAAGATTGACATAGGCTGAGATATACTATTAAGCATATATGAATCATTTTCTTTCTGTTTCACAGGCAGCATAATGAAAAGAACTGTGAATTGTTGCTCTAAAAATGTCCCTACTATCTAGTAAAGGTTTCAGTATATATATTTGTGTCAAAGAATTCCAAAAGTTATTAATGCATTTTAATTGCCAAAACTAACATGATCTGAGTGAGGACTTCTTGTTTTTTTTTAATTATGTTATGTTAATCACCATACGTTACATCATTAGTTTTTGATGTGGTGTTCCATGATGCATTGTTTGTGCATAACACCCAGTGCTCCATGCAGAACGTGCCCTCTCTAACACCCATCACCAGGCTTCTCTTTTGTTGGCTTAGAAAGAAGTAACTGGCAACAGCTTGATGCTGTGGATGATGAGAACACTGAGGATCCAGAGCACTTGCCGTCATTCTCCTGGCAGAAAAACTAACTATAGCCAAAGCAATATGGGGCAAAAAACCAGGAGTTTGTGGCAGGGTGTGAAGGCTTAGTTTGATAGAGCACCTTATCAGTAGAAAATATTTTGAGCAACCCAGTACATGGATATTTATTTGTAAAATATATATATATATAATATATGCATAAATTAACATATTATATTGTAAAACAAATAGAAATTTAAAAAGGAAAGATAAATTTACATTCAAATAAGAGAAGTATCAGAATGAAATGAGAATTTCTGCTCACCCTCTCCCCAGTGAAACAACCATTAGGTGGTGAAAGTATTTAAAAAAAATCATTTGAAGTCTCTAGAAATTGTCCCAAGGGCATACAGCAGATGAAGAAACATGTATTCATGAGAATCTACTAAATCTTGGTAAGAAGAGCAAAAATCTGGGCCACAACCCACTCTTCCAGCTCTCAGCTCAATATCCTGGAAGCTCCAGTCTGAATGAGTGCAGGAGAGAAGATGGCCTGTCTCCCCCAGTTCTGGGTCTGGGATATTGGCTTCTCCCTGGGAGGGCCAGGCCTCCACCATTTTCAGCCCCAATCCCGCATAAGCATTATTCCAGGCAGATGTGGCTGAGAGGTGTGGGGCTTTCCACCTACCCAGCCACCACTGTGGGGTGGAAGCCCTACCCCAGGTATAGAGGGGTTAAGAATATTGGGCTACTACTACTGTCCCCGCCGTAGCTCACTCATAGCGTGGAGGTTCCACGTTGGGAGAGGAAAACAGAATACCAAGGGCTTCAGACCCCAATCTGCGACCCCTGCTCAGAGAGCAGAAGTGTCACTCAGAAAAAAAAAAAGGCTGCTTCCCGCGTCCAGCTCTGGGGCAGCAGGGCAGAGGTTCTGTGCAGTGGGGAAGACAGGCTGTACCATGGCACCGTAGCTCTGCCTAAGAAGATGGATTTTATTTGGAAGAGATCGTGGGGAAGTTCCTACCTAAGGGCACTGTCAAAAACACTGGAGATCTTGGTAATAAGCAATTAAGAGAAGGATGGGAACTCTGTGATAGCAAAAAGCTAAATAAATGGTAGACCAGCTAGAAATTTAACAGAAAAAACCGGGGGGGGGGAAAGGAGCCCTCCTGGGGTGGAAGAAGCCTCAGAGACTGACCTCAAAGATTACCCATGCAAAGGGGCTGGAGTGTAATTGGATCCAACAGTGGAACAGTCTATGCCCAGGTGTTGTTAAAAATAACAGAGAAATCCACTAGCAATTAGCGGAGGCTCAGAACTGAGTATATTCACTGAGTCGAACCAGCTAGAAGCTTCACAGGGACGTAAGGGAAAAAAGACTCGGAGGCTTAACTGACCAAGAAAGAAAAGAGAAGACTCAGATTCCCAAGGTCAGGAGTAATAGAGGGACCATCATCAACCCTAGAGAAAAGGATTATAAAGGAATACTGTAAACAACTGTGTGCTGACAAATTATATAATTTACATGATATATGCAAACAAATGCAAAAGAATGAAGTGTGTTCCCTTCTTTAAACCGTGCACAAAAGTTAACTTAAAATGGATCATAGGTCTCAATACAGGAGCTTAAAGAAAGACTCTCAGGAGAAAACGTTAGAGTAAATCTTTGTAACCTTGGGTGAGGCAAATCATGAGCAACAAATGAAAAAAATGACAAATTGGGCCTCACCAAAGTTAAAAATGTTTGTGCTGCAAATTACACCGTCAAGAAAGTGAAAAAAACCACATATGGAACAGGAGAAAATATTTGCAAATCATATATCTAACAAAACACTTATAACCAGATATAGAAAGAACTTTTACAGCTTAGCAGGAAAAAGACAACCCAATGAAAAATAGGCAACAGATCTGAATAGATATTTCTCCAGAGAAAATACACAAGTGACCAGTAAGTGCATGAAAAGATGCTCAACATTACCAACCATTAAGGAAATACAAACCAAAATCACAATGAGATACCACTTCACACCCCCTTGAAAGGCTGAAATTTAAAAAAAAAAAAAAAAAAAAGACGAGTAATAGCAAATGTTGGCAAGGATGTGGTGCAATTCTGAGTACACCAAGAGACATAAAAACATACTTTCACACGAAAACTTGTATACAGATGTTTACAGTAGCATTATTCAGAAGAGCCCAAATCCAGAAACAACAGAAATGTTTGTCTACCAATGGATGAATTAAAAAAATGTGGTCTGTCCGTACAATGGAATGTCATCCAGCTGTAAAAAGGAATGAAATGCTGATACGTGCTACAGTATGGATGAACCTTGAGAACATGCAGCGGGGCAGAAACTAGTCACAAAATTTATTCGACTTATGTGAAATATCTGGAAAAGACACTGAGTGGATAATAATAAGTTACTGAGATTGTGGTGATCGTCCCACACCTCTGTGGTTATACTAAAAGTCTCTCTCTTTTTTAAAAGATTTTATTTATTTATTTGACAGGGAAAGAGAGAGAGAGAGCACACAAGCAGGGGGAGTGGCAGGCAGAGGGAGAGGGAGAAACAGGGTCCTCACTGAGCAGGGAGCCTGACTCGGGGCTCCATCCCAGGACCCTGGGAGCATGACCTGAGCTGAAGGCAGAGGCTTAGCCGACTGAGCCACCCAGGCGCCCCTAAAGGTCTCTTAATTGAATACTTTAAGTAAGGTAAATGTGTTTGGTCTTCTAATTATATCTGAATAAAGCTACTAAAAAAAGTTCTTATAAATAAAAATAGTAACGCACTCCCATGATGTTGGGCAGAAGTAAGAAGAGAGACAGGCCATTGTTTCTGCTTTTACCTTTTCTTCTTCAGTAATTAGAACTAAATGAGAATAAGGTCTCAGGTCACTTCTATAAAATCCATTCCCTCCCTGACATATTCACTTCTGTGATAATGTCCCCGGTTCTTTTTTTATTCTTTGCACTGTATTTCATAAGACAGACTGCAAGCCAAGGGTTCTTTCTGTGACTGTGTTTATGTGTAAATTGGTACAGTGTGTCAGAATTATCAGTCAAAATTCAGAGGGACACCATGATGTGATTAAAAAAACATTGAACTTTGTGCCGGGGGTCCTGTTATTTTAAATTCAATTCCTACACCCAGTGACCTTTTTCGTGGTGATATCTATCTGTTTGGGCCCAACGCTTTTCATCTATGATTGAGACTGTTGCAAAAAATGACCCCTAAAATTTATTTTTTAAAATTAACCTTTAAAAGTACTTTTTTTGGGTTTTATTTTAAATGTT